GTGTCATGAGTGGAGCTATCATATTCATTCAGGAAGATTTAAAGATAACCGAGGTACAAGAAGAAGTTCTTGTTGGGATTTTGAGCATTGTTTCGCTTTTCGGTAGTTTAGCCGGCGGTAAAACATCAGATATCATTGGTAGGAAGTGGACCATGGCCTTGGCTGCTGTTGTCTTTCAAGCAGGTGCAGCTACAATGACCCTTGCTCCTTCATTTGAAATATTGATGATTGGAAGACTCTTTGCGGGCGTTGGAATTGGCTTTGGTGTCATGATTGCCCCTGTTTATATCGCTGAGATATCACCCACCATTGACAGAGGCTCACTCACCTCATTCCCAGAAATATTTATAAATCTGGGAATTTTACTCGGCTACGTCTCAAACTATGCATTTTCTGGTCTTCCGGCACATATAAACTGGAGGATAATGCTTGCAGTAGGAATTACGCCTTCAATTTTCATTGGTTTTGCACTTTTCGTAATCCCCGAGTCTCCAAGGTGGTTGGTCCTTCAGAACCGTGTTGACGAGGCAAGATCAGTGTTGATGAAAACAAATGAGAAAGAAAGTGAGGTGGAGGACAGACTAAATGAAATACTAGCAGCCGCTGACAATTCTAGTGCGGGGAAGTATGAGGAGAAAAGCGTGACGAGTGAACTAATGAATCCATCTCCTTCACTTCGTCGGATGCTTATCACAGGTTTTGGAATTCAATGTTTTCAACAGATAACAGGAATAGATGCGACTGTGTACTACAGCCCCGAAATCTTCCAAGAAGCAGGAATAAAAAATAAACAAAATGTACTTGCTGCAACTGTTGCAGTGGGTGTCACAAAGACTGTTTTTATAATGGTCGCTATTCTTCTTATAGACAAGCTCGGAAGAAAGCCCTTGCTCTATGTCAGCACGATTGGAATGACGATTTGTTTATTCAGTTTAGGATTTACTCTCTCTTTTCTTGGGAAAGGACAGTTTGGCGTTGCAATGGCAATTTTATCCGTATGCGGAAATGTAGCCTTCTTCTCTGTTGGAATTGGACCTGTTTGCTGGGTTTTGACATCTGAAATCTTCCCTCTAAGGGTGCGTGCGCAAGCAGCAGCACTCGGAGGAGTGGGTAATAGGGTGTCCAGTGGCCTGGTTGCCATGTCTTTTCTCTCAGTTTCCAATGCAATTTCATTTGGTGGAACATTCTTTATCTTTTCTGCAGTCGCTGCTCTTTCTGTCGTATTTGTCCACACCTGTGTTCCAGAAACCAAAGGAAAGTCATTGGAGCAGATTGAGTCGCTTTTTCAAACTGAACATGATCAGAAAGGAGGTCAAGTGGAACTAGGAGATGTCGAGCACCTTGTGCAGAAAGGATGATTGTTCGGGAAAGCTCATTCGATGAACAGATATATCTTCCACATCTTACCATCCTTCAACTGGTTTGGAAAAGGATACAGATTAATCATTCGTAATTCATCGCAGTGTTCACATAACTGATGGAACTACTGTGAGTCTGAATTTGCAGGATGCAGATTTCGAAAGAGAACCTTGCGCTTGTATAGATGGTTCTTTGCAACCGAATAAAATAGCTACCAGAGGGAGCACATTACATGTTTGAGTTGTATTCTTTGTTAAGTTTACAGGTTTGACAATGGGATACTTGTATTATGGTCTACAACTATTAGATTTTTCGGAATCAAATTCGTTCATGGTAGTATGCTTGCTGTACTTGTCTTTGTATGCAATTTCACATCAATGAAAAATATTAACATTTGAAAGGTAAGCAGAAACATTGTTATATATATTTTTAGTGCTTCTGAATTATGAACATCCTTTAGATGCTTGTAGGGGTGGGCATAAAAATTGAGAAACTGTGAAACCGAACCGAATTAGATGAAAAAAATCATAAAAAACCAAGTTCACCAAAACCGTTCAAACTTGGACCAAAACTGAACCGAACTAGTTTAAAATGGTTCCAATTCTGGTTTCTAATTCTCAAGAACCGAAGAAACCGCACCGGAGCATCTCTATTAATTTTTTTTTAAAATCTAATTCTTTATCCCTTTAAACCGAGCGCAATGGCTTTTTAAGATTCACATAGCCGACCCCACTTAGTGGGAAAATGCTTTGTTGTTGTTGTTGTAATTCTTTATCCCTTGTTTTTTTTTTTTTTGGAAAAAGGCTTCTTCACATTTATTACAACTAAAAGATACACAAAAGGAAACTCAAGGCCCAAAGATCACACATAAACAAGCAAAACATGGGCCAAAAAAGACAAACTACAAATGGCCAACCAGTAGTTGAAGCCCAAAACACACAAAAGAGGTTACAGACACCAGACAATTCTACTACTTTCGCCGCTGTTCTCGATCCGACCAAGTCCTTGTCCACAGCCAAGCATCGCCATATCAATTGCAGCATCGCACATCAATTAACGTCCTGAGCACAGCCACAAAGAAAGGATAGCTAGCAAGTGATTGGAAGAAGCCAACTATCAAGATGAAGTTCGTGGCAACCCGCGAACAACACTGCCGGAAAAGGCAGAGACAATGATAAAGTGGTGGTGTGGAACACCCGAGCCGGTGGGAACACTAGAACTCTATTCACCATCTTGAAATATCACAACAACAACAAGTCGTGGTTTGGAAGTGGGTGCAGAGAGGGGCAAGAAGGAACGCCGCTGGGGGTAGGAAGAAATGGCCAGATTGGAAAAGGAGAGCAGGAAAAAAGGAAGAAGCATTGGGAGAAGCAAAAAGAAAAGAAGAAGAAGAAGAACATAAGAAAGAGGACAAGGCAAAGAAGGGGATACGGGGAGAAAACAGGAGGAGGAAGAGAAGAGTGGCAACCGACTCCAGCCAAAGCCAGAGTCGACTCTAGACCTCGCATTTGTGTCGTGTTTCTCGTGTTCGTGTTGTTTTCCTATTATACCCGATGTTTAACAAGTCGTGTCGTGTAATACCTGTTAAAGTAAACGGGTAATATGACTCAACCCGAAATCAACCCGTTAATATTATCAGGTAATATGATCAAACCCGTTACCAGTTAAAAAAAAATATTTTAAATCAATAAAAATGAAAATGAAAAACATAATTTGACCCCACAAAATGTAAAACATAATACTAAATTTCGGAGTTGACCTCTTCATGAAAGTTGTAAAGCTTTTCATTACGAGTGATTACATTTTTCACACTTCTACAATAATTATTATTAATTTTGCACTCAAATAAAAAACACTATTCATAAGATTTGGAGAGTTTTAAAAATCTAAACGACCATGTAACCATCGTTTAAGCGTTGAGGATGCAATTATGAACGTAAATTATGCTTTCACATCTTTCAGACTTATACATTAATGATTATGAATTTTGTTTATTTTGAACTCCCTTAAAAATACTATTCATGAGAGTTTTTATGGTTTTAAAATTTCAAACGATCATATACACATCCTTAAAATGTAGAGGATGTGACTACGAGCGTTTGCATATTTTTTCATATTTTTTGCACATGTAAATGAATTATTATAATTTTTTAATGTGTTTGGTATTTTTAAATTACGTGATATTTTTATTTTTAATGTGTTTTATGATTTTTAATCAGAATCTTTGCCTATAATATATTATAAAAATAAATAAATAAATAAAACTTAAATTTTAAAATTTATATAGAATAATAATTAATGAACAATATATACATATTCATTATATCTATTGTATTTTATAGTAAGTTTTTTTTAGTAGTTTTAAAAAAATTAAAATCATCAAAATAACTTTTTTCTTATCGTGTCGAAATAGGTTACCCGTGTGTCACTCTCGTGTAAACCTGTTAAAGACCCGTTATTAAAGGATTATTATCGTGTGACCCAATTAGTTATCATGTTGATCCGAAACCTATTATTTTCGTGTCATTTACGTGTTGTGTAAGAAATTACCAGGTCTAGTTGGCGCCAAAAAAGGTGAGCAAGATGAAGACCCTCACCAAAAGGAAGGGAGGAAACTCTCACAAAAGGAGAGAAGGGCTCTCGCGGAAGGAGAGATGCCTTTATCCCTTGTTTTATATAAATACCAAGCCCAAACGAAAAATTTATATAAAAAAATTTCAAGCCCAAAATAATTACCTCAACCCATCCATTCCACCATAGCCGGCAGTTCACATTCCAATTTTCATCCCTCTCTCTCCTCTCTTATTTTCCTCATTTATCTATATGCATTATGTACATTTTAATTTCATTCCAGGATGTACACTTTGGTCATAGGAAGCTTTTTATCTTTTGATTTATATTTATATGTAAACTTTCTATCTTCGGGTCACAATTCTAGTAAATATAGTAGTGAGAACTCAAATTTGCTTGAATTTGTGTTGAAATATGTGTTTGGTTAGAATCGTAAACCGGCATAAACTGAATCTGAATCGGCGTAAACCAAACCGTACGGTTTTAATAATAAATTTAAGTAAAACCGCACCGAACCAAACCTTTGATATTTTTTTATTCCAATTTGAGGATGAAATCGGACCGTGCTCACCTGTAAATGCTCGTTGGGGCTCGAATTTATACCACCCAGCGGCTTCTACTTTACGACTAGTGCCTCCCATTGTACCACCCACTGCCGTCGCCATTGCTACCTCTTGCTCGTTTTGAGTTCCCATTTGATGGTGCAATCCAATGTGCCCAATTGTTTCTGGTTCTCTCAAATTTTTACTTTTTAATTTATAAAGAAATAAAGTTTTGTTCTTCCCTCATGACAATTGCCAAATTTTTATTTCTGGAATAAATGAAGAAAACTTTTCCCATGCCCACTTCGTGTAGTCATAATTTTATGTGACTGTTACTTCAAATTTTCATCCGGGAGAAGGGAGAGAAGAAGAGACAGAGCAGGTTGCAAGTTAAAAAAATAAAGATAAAATTTGGCCGCCGATCTACATCAACGGCCAAGATGCATTGGCCGACAGATCCTCACAAAAAGGTCCGGATAAGTGTCAACGTGAAGACAAGAAGCAGTTGACCAACAATGCTCATCATCTAACTACTTAATATTCCCTCTCTCTCTCTCTCGATTAATTTTCTCCTCTCACTCAAGAGTCCATACTCTCTCTCTCTCCATCTGTCTCAGTAATGGAAAATATCGAGCACAAACATGTGGAAGTAAGAGGACTCAAGCTTCACGTAGCTGAAATCGGAAGCGGTGCGTATGATCCTTCCAAAAGTTGTCATTTGATCTTAACATAACACCAGACGTTTTTGCGAACTTAGGACATAAAGTATGATCGTTCTTTAAATTTGGTTTTATAATTTCCCGAAGGAGGTCATATACCTAGGGTTTAAAGATCCGACAAGGATCTTCCTTGTAATTTTCTTTCTGTTGTCAACAAGGAAAAGAGAAATGATATGCTGATGAATTTGTGCAGGTCCAAAGGCTGTGGTTTTCCTTCATGGATTTCCGGAAATATGGTACACGTGGAGGCATCAACTGGTTGCTTTGGCAAACAAAGGCTACCGGGCAATAGCCATTGATTTCAGGGGCTATGGACTTTCCGAGCAGCCGGCTGACCCTGAAAAGGACACCTTCATTGACCTTGTCCACGATGTCGTTGCCCTTTTGGATTCTTTGGCCATTAACAAGGTAATATTAATTTAGGAGGATTTTAAAAGACTTAGATTTGATAGGATTTGAAAACTCCTACAAATTCCATATGGATTTTTAAGGATTTCTATATGGATTTTGATGGATTTCTGTGGACTTGGTTTATGATTTTGATGGATTTTTTTAGGGACATTTTTTTGTATTTCTCTTTAAGATTTCTCAATGTAGTGAATGTTCCTGTTGATCTAACTAAAGTACACACACCAGTATCCCGTAATCGAAATCCAACTCCGTACTTTCATTTTGATTTAATGCACATCTGTTCTCATTTCTCTGCCCTACAATGTAATTGGAATAAAAAATTAAGGCTATCGGTCGATATTTAGGGGTAATTGTGTGAGTCCATATACAATACATATGTCTAAGAACTCACACTCAGTACATTTTCGTCAAGAACTTGAAGTTAATTATATGCACACAGCCTAACAGAATGTTATTGGCACTAGGCTTTTCTTATTGGGAAAGATTTTGGAGCATTGCCTGCGTACTTAGTAGCTGCTCTCCACCCGGAGCGTGTATCTGGTGTCGTTACACTAGGTATTCCTTTCTCGCTACCAGGTCCCTCTGCTGTCCAAAATCATCTCCTTCCTGAAGTGTTCTACATATCAAGGTGGCAGGTATGTATATACATTCAATTTTCCATCAACACCTTCAGTTTTCGGCTAATAATCTCCACACTGGCATGTTCCAATCATTCATAAGCTTAATTTATTCGTCTATGACATATAATTAAGGTACTAATTAGGTTCCTATTACCTAATTCCAGGAACCAGGGAGGGCAGAAGCAGATTTTGGTCGCTTTGATGTGAAGACGGTGATTAGGAACATCTACATTCTCTTCTCTAGAAGTGAGATCCCAACAGCTGCTCCTGATCAAGAAATCATGGATTTGTTTGACCCTGCAACTCCTCTGCCGCCAGGGCTTTCGGAAGAAGATCTTGATGTCTACGCATCTTTGTATGAAAAATCTGGATTCCGTTATCCATTGCGAGTTCCATACAGGTAGGTACCAAAACATAATTCTGTTCTCACAAGAAATGCTACCCTTTCTCTAGTCTAGCAGTTAACTAAGATGTGAGTATGTGTTGGGAAGTACTTATGTCTAAATACGATGCTTAATTATTGAATGACGTAGCAGTATTTGATTGATCCAGTGTCGCTCCACTTAAACCTTATTTATCAATAACAAGATGCATGTTGACACGTCATTTGGTGAACAAATTTGAAGACTCCCGAAATATCATTTCATTATTAAAGTGCCTTTGTTGCTGCAGAACCTTGGCCGTGGATTGCGGTATAACTGATCCCAAAGTCTCGGCTCCATCGCTGCTGATCGTGGGCGAGAAGGATTACGTCTTAAAATTTCCAGGGATGGAGGACTACATTCGCACTGGGGCGGTGAAGCATTTTGTGCCGGATCTGGACATTACATTCATCGAAGACGGGAGCCATTTTATGCACGAACAACTTGCAGAGAAAGTTAATCAGCTGATCCTCACATTCCTCGACAAGCATGCTATCTGATGAGTATCTGCTCAATGAGCTCAATGCGCCTGAGGAGCGAGGCATGATAAATAAGAAGTAATTAGATTTAAAAAAAAATGTGCTTCGCAAAGGTACTTGGCTACTTATTTATTTTTGTTAATTATCGAATATTTCGGAGAAGGTATTCGAATCCGGGACCTATGATATAGTGATAACTGCTTTAAACTCGAGCTATAAAGCCCCACATTTATGACGTACTTCTTAAGTAATAGATGATGGATAAATATTAGAAGTTGGAGAAATATTTCGAATACAGTCAATCTTACATCATTACTAGTTTGCATCAGTTTTTAAACATAATAACAAATAATGTGACAACTACACTAAAATTATGTAAATTACAAGAATAAAGATTCGAACTTTAACACACCTCTCTACTCAAGCCGGCTAAACATAAATGTAGATGTCAGTATCTTTGGACAAATTTGCATCAGTTTTTAAACATAATAACAAATAATGTGACAACTACACTAAAATTATGTAAATTACAGGAATAAAGATTTAAACTTTAGTGCAGAGAATGTAACACACCTCTCCACACAAATGGCTAAACATAAATGTAGATGTCAGTATCTTTGGACAAAGAAATTTGTCCAAAGCATCCACTTGCCGTCCAATTTAGTTTTTTTTTGGGTAAATCATATTTATGAAAAGAATGGGAAGGAAAAAAAAAAAAAAACAGAAGAAAACAAACCAAAAACAGTGACGCTGCACCAGAAATTTCCATGTAAGACATTAACGTTTTGGTTAACAAAATTGTTGATATTCCCTATTCCAGGAAACAAATAAAATAGAGAGCTGTTATTCTCACCCCAATGTCTTATCTTTCCATCCATTTTTTTATGAATTTTTTAATTACAAATTTGTCAATTTGTAAAATGACTAATAAGGACCTTAGTTACCCTCTTTTGCATTACTTTTTTTTTTTATAAAAAATAAAAAAGAAAAATTTGGGTATGATAACTCTCACGCTATGTTTAGACGATTTGTCTCTCTTAAACCCTAACTCATCATTCCCATCTCCTTTCATTCAAAGAAAACAAAAAGAATGAACTTAGAAGATGATGTTTCTACAGAAGAAGTAGATGATTATGTTTCCGTCAAAGAGGTAAAAAATAATTTTATATGGGTCATCTTGATTTGTCGAATCGTATAATTGAAGCATAACTCTGTGACTTTTTATCTCTAATTATATATATATATATATATATATATATATATTTTAGGAATAATAGTGGGTGAGAAAATAACATTTTAATTTTTTTATAGTGGGTGTAATATAAGGTAGGTGGGAAAATAAGACAACGGGGTGGGTCTAGCAGCTCTCATAAAATAAAAGCAAATTATTCGAACACTAACCAGCTAGTCAGTTAAGGAAATGGATCATCTTCGAATCCCTTCCTCTTAATTCACTAAGTCTAAAGATCCGAATCATTGAAATTCGATCAAATGGTTAAAGTTATTATAACTTTTAAAGTAGGCCCCTATTTGTAATCGTTGGATCAAATTTCAATGGTCTGGATTCCCGGACTTGATGGATTACGAGGAAGGGATCCGAAGAGGATCCCTTTCTGTCAGTTAATACACCACAATGTCACTTTGGACCCACCCCACAACATCATCTCATGAACCCAGATCCTCGCCAGTTCCTCTTTGTGAGGATCTGGGGATCTGTCAATCCTGTCCGTTCATCGTACATCGTGCGGTCAGAAATTATTTTAAATTTTTTTATTTAAAATTAAACATATATAGTACTTGACAAAAATTGACTGCACGATGTATGATGAGCGGACACGATTTTGCGGATACTCAGAATCCTCATTAAAAAAATCTAGAAAGGATCATGTTGGATCATCTCATAATCCAAACCCGTCAATGTTTTAAATAATAAGTCAAAAGATCACTAATGCAAAAAATGAAATAACCAAATCAAGCAACATTTAATCATCTAACAAGCAAGTGCAAGTGGTGTTTTACCATAGTGGTGTAAAGGTGTTGTGTCCTTGCATGACGGCGCGGGTTCAAACCCATTAGTGGCTAATCTAACATTTAACTTACTAACGATATTGTTTCACTCAAAAAAAAAAAAAATATCTAACAAGTTAAATAGACAGACTTAACATTTCATATAAACAATGAAACTTTTTACAAGAAGAATCAAACGGCAAAACAATTTCTGCATTTTTTTCGCAAAAGTCTTCAAGGGCTTTTTAACTAAAATGGTCTCTGAGATTTGTTTAACTCTTCATTAAGGATCAAAATGATTGATGTTGGACAATCTCATAGACCATTTTTATTGATTTTAAATTTCAAATACCAAAATAACAAGTTATACAAATGTTAGAAACCACTTTAGCTAACAAGTCATCTTCAAAGATGACTTAAAAAATGAAATGTTCATGAGACGACGTTGTAAGTGGACCCAAACGAGTGACAGTTGTGACGTCTCGATGTCATCTAAAGTTAAAAAGAAACATGAGAGCAACTCCAGCGGATGCTGGTTGCTCGGGCGACAGGGGAGGAGAAAGGGCCTGAGGGCCGGTGGGAGCAGCTCCAGCGGGGAAGGGCCCGAGTGAGGGTGGGAGGCCGAGCGAAGGGGGGGGGGTGGGAAGTCGACGGGCCTGTGGCCCGAGGGCTTTGTAATTGTTTATTTTTTTTGTGTGTCAGAGAGAGAGAGAGAGGGAGGTTTTTTATTATTTAAACAAACAAAAAAAATTATTATTTTAATTGCTTATTGCCAGGGGAGGGTTGCAGGGTGGAGATGTAAATGACAATTACTGTTCATTAATGGTAGTTACTATTTATTTAAGACAGTTACTGTTTAATAGGGTGGATTGAATAGTGGATTGCCAGGGGAAGAGCTCCATGGGTGGAATTGCTCTGAAAGACTGAGAGATGACAATAAATTAACGCTTTCTCCTCTCAGTGCTGCCGGCTGATCTTCAGGAATCTCTCTCTGGCTCTCATGGAACAGATCCAGCACAGACATGTGCAAGTTAGAGGACTAAAGCTTCATGTAGCTGAAATTGGAAGAGGCAAGCTCCACAATTCTAATACCACCTCAACATCCCACCCACTTTCTTTGTCAATTTGCATCACTGATTCCCTGCTTTCATGCTGTTTCTGCAGGTCCAAAAGTGGTGCTGTTCTTGCATGGATTTCCAGAGATATGGTACACATGGAGGCATCAAATGGTTGCTGTCGCAGACAAAGGCTACCGGGCGATATCCATTGACTTCAGAGGCTTTGGGCTTTCCGAGCAGCCGGCTGAACCCGGAAAGGCAACCTGGAAAGACCTTGTTGACGATGTCGTTGACCTTCTTGATTCTGTGAGCATTAACAAGGTAAAATATTAATTACAAGAATTTAAACTTCATTAAATTCAAAAATAAAAAGCTAATGTTTAACTATTGAAACCAGGTTGTTCTTGTTGGGAAGGATTTTGGAGCTCTGCCTGCATACCTAACACCTGCTCTCCACCCAGAGCGTGTAGCCGGCATGATAACAGTAGGTGTTCCTTTCCTCAACCCGGCTAACTCTCCTGTCCGATTTGATCTCTTACCTGAAGGCTTCTACATGTCAAGATGGAAGGTACATTCATTTTTTTCCATGAAATTTTTTCATCTGTCATGAATAAGAACAATACAAGGTTGATCACTTACTAATTACTATGCAAGATATTGCTATTCTTACCTATTTCCAGGAGCCGGGGCGGGCAGAAGCAGATTTTGGCCGCTTCGATGTCAAGACCGTGATACGAAACATCTACATTCTCTTCTCCGGGAGTGAGCTCCAAGTAGCCGCTCCTGATCAAGAAATCATGGACTTGGTAGACCCTGCCACTCCTCTACCACCATGGTTTTCGGAGGAAGATCTTGCAGTCTATGCATCTCTATATGAGAACTCTGGATTCCGTTATCCCATCCAAGTTACATACCAGTAAGTAACAAGAACAAAAACTCTTACTTTAATTTCCGTTTTCACCGGACATAAGTTCCTTAATTTCTCCCAAAGTTTTAAGCCTTCAATTTCCTAGTATGTTTCTGCTCCTTTTTTTTTCCAACGAGAAAAGGAGATGAGGAAAATAGATTGGTCCTAACATAACACATCCATGAACAGTATAATTTCATCTGAGTTTTTTTCCACAGATCCAGAACTAAGGTCGTGGATTACGGATTAAGCAGCCATCCAAAAGTGCCGGCTCCATCACTGCTTATCATGGGTGAGAAGGACTACTTCCTGAAATTTCCGGGAGTGGAGGACTACTTACGGACTGGAGCAGTGAAGCATTTTGTCCCTGATTTGGACATTGCATATATTGCAGAAGGGAGCCACTTTGTGCACGAACAATTTCCTGATCAAGTTAATCAGCTCATCATCAGTTTCCTCGAAAAACATGGTATCTAATGCAGATGCTCAATGTGCCTAAGAACAACATTTAACTAGCAGAGGAAATATCGAAGCATTACCTAAAAGGCGACGCCTTGCATTACATATTTGGGAATAAAGAAAATGTAGCTCGGGTTCCTCTGTACTGCTATCTCTACTTGATTGATTTGCTTATTTGTTCTGGAAGTATGCTCCCTTAATTTTCCAGAGAAAATTGCTATTTGTTTTCTTCTAATTTAGGTTAATGAGATTTATTAAAGGAAATGGTGGCCCAACAAAACCAGCCGGCACATCCAAGTCACATATGACGGCAATAAATCCCAACAGGAAAACACACCAGCAAACTCTCAAATTTTCAGATCAAATTGATAATATGGATGTATAACTCATGTGATTTCATTGACATTTAGTGAAAGAGATTGATACAACCTCCAATTGATCAAGCTAACAAATTTTATTGCTACTGTAAGATTTAAATACAGCTTATAGAGAGGTAACTGAACTAAATGGAACCGCATATCTTCGGGTTCCTGGTCAGAAAGGTTTGCATGTATACACATATACTCAGTAGTAAATTACAATGAGTGATGGTAATTTCTACACATGAGGCTTCCCCTTGTACAAAGACCTTTCAGTGTTCGTAAGCAGGAAATTCGCCTAAGAAGGTTCAACCATGTCGAAAAAACGATAAGCCATAAGTCCAACTCCTTCAAACAAGGAGTAGGGGCTATCACCTCCATGCTTATCACCCTGTGATATAAGCTTGTGAGCTCTATCGAGTAAGAAACAAGCAAAATCTTTCGCTCTGTATAAGAACATTTCCTGTCGGTTGGTAGAGCGAGAGGAACACGTACGCGTTTCCACTAATGCCATGGCAAATCCCCACTCTTTAGTAGTCAACGTTTCCAGACAACCTCTGCAGCGTCAGAAGCTGCTTCCAGGGCATTTACCATATCTTTAATCTTAGACTGACTCACAGAGAAGAGGCAATACAAGTAAACAGTGAATAATTTGAAGAAACAGACAAACAAAGGTTTGATTCAGTGGGAGAAGAAGAGACAAAAATTGGAAAAGAATATCATCTGATTCCTCGATCCTCAAAAAAACATCATGAGGTTTATAATGCAAGTTCAAGGGAAGAATGAGTGCCTTGAGGAAAAGTTTCTCTGGGAAGCAGCGGTTGTAGCTCATTAACGTTAATGAAATGTATTCATGATCATATAATTCATAAGTGGTGTACGATAAATGTCTACTTAGAAGCTCAAATGTAAAAAGCCAACGAGTTCAACAGTGTACTGAAGAACCATTTTGAACAAAGACAACCACATGAAGTTTATTAGCAAACAATTGAAAAGCAGCACATGAAACTTTATGCATGAAAAGCACAATCAAATTGATACCTTGCAGTTTTGGCAAGCGTGAGTGCAATTCCAGGTCCCATGACACCAGTGCACAAGAACATCTCGATGTCTATATGACAGCAGTGTGCATTGGCCTGCCTCGTTTTGTGTGTCGCATTTTTTATATGACAAGCCAGCTTCGTTCTGCGTGCGACGATTCGTTTTGTGTGCTAGAAGTCCGATTCATTGTGCATGTGACAGCTTGCCTCATTTGTGGGCCTTATTTTGCATACGTAACCGTCTCGTTTTGCGTGCCAAAAGCCCAACTTATTTTTTGTGAGTAGAGCCCACTTCGTTTTACGTTTGCCTAGTTCTACGTGTGCAGAGTCCGTCTTATTTTGCATGTCGAGTTTGCCTTGTTTTGCGTGCTCAAAAATCTTATAGTTTTGCGCCCACCAAGCAAGACTTTAGGGTTTAGGGTGAATAATATGTGAAGGCGTACAAGTGCACTATAGGGAGAATGGTAGTTTCACTCATAACTTCCCGAAACGGTGAATGGTAACCTTTGGCAGGCTTGTTCGTGCCTTGCCTTTCTCATGTCTTTTCCACGCTTTGCCATGACATGTTTATTTGTGCCTGCCTTTGTCATGTCGTGCTTGTTTGGATCTATCCTTCACAAAAATGCACAATTACCTATAAAGGCGCAACGAAGGGAAGGGACGAAAGAGTGTTTGATTCCATGTATGACCAAAGCATAACATTCCTTGCAAAGGCACAATATTTTTAAAGGAAAACTAATGAAAAAGTTTTGAAAACTTTGAGTTTTAACGATAAGGATAAAATAAAGGGTAAAGTGAATAGCACTAGGTTTGACTTTTTAATGTAAAAATATGATTTTTCGTTAAAATGAACAGTACCGCGGACTTTTCGTTAAAATTCTCTATTTTTAATCCACAAACAAGCATGCGACACCATGATATGCTTGGGTTTAGCGGAAAAAGAAAATAAATAAATAAATAAATAAAATGAAGTGTAATTCTCACTTTATTGATGATGTGATTCATTGACCAGGTGATGAATGTGCATTCACGTGACATTGTGGCTCTACGTGGACAATTAAAAGTAAAAAAAAAAAAAAACTAAATAAGAAGAAAAAAAATGTTAAAAAAAGGGTATTAATGATGTGGCAGTAAATGGACCCTGTAAAGAATATTAATATGTAACAAAATAGGAAGGAAAAAAAAAAACGGAGAAAAATCTCCTCCCTCTTCCTTTCGTCCTCCGCTCCCCTTCTCGTCTTCTGCTCCAGTCCTCCCTCACTAACCATGAGAACACGACTCCAAGCTTCTAGATTTCAAGAGCCCATCATATATCCGCTTCGGTGGCTACTCTACCTCCTTCTTTTGGCACGCCGCCGCAAACCTCCCCTATAGTCGTGAGAATATTTGACGCCGTTGACGAGGTGAAGGTCCGCATGTTTGACGCCCCTCAAGAATGTTCTTATTGCCCTTGCCCTTCTAAAACAGGTGGACTCACTCTTATGTGAAGGTAGTTACGCTCCTAACATGTGGTATGAGATTAAGTTTTACATTGATGCTTATGATGGTTAACCGTGATTTTGCTCAAGTTTCTTCACTCGATTATGAATGAGTTTGTTCTTTTGTTTTTTGGTAACGTTATTAAGGAGTTTCATTATTTTTTCTTTTAATAAACTATTTGTAAATCTAGGTGATTAGGGCAATTCCAAAAATTGTTTTCCCTGATGAATTATTTGCTAAAAATATCTATTTTCTACATTTGGTTTGTGTTTCTCACATATACATTCAGTAAGCAGTTTGACCATACTCGATAAAAAGATAATAACTAAACCCACAAAAGATTAAGAAAATTAAGAATTAAACATCAACTATTCACTCAATTTCTTTATTATAAGGAATGGCGATGATAACTTCAAGCAATCCAGAGTACATTAGAGCATATTTAAAGACAATGATTAAAATATGAAATGATTTCCATCTCCATACAATTGTTAGTTTTTAACAATTGATGAAATGAGATCAATTGCCTGAAATGCTCCCAATCTTTCTCCCACACAATGCCCTCATAATCATTAACGGCGTTGGCAGCAACGGGATCAACCATCGACTTGTTCTTGACGGAAATGACAAGCTAATAGTTGATGTCTGTCACAACCTGAGTGTCACCCCGAACAACAGGGCCAGGATAGGTAGCGTAGTACCGATCTTTCCCTATTTCAATTTATTTATTTATTTTCTGTTTTTTTGTTTTTTCCTTTGAATTTTTTTTTTCATATGTTACTTTATTTTAGTAACCACTATTAAATTTAAATATATTTAAATTGAGTTTTTAAATCGTTGATTTTAAGTGTTTAAATATGAATTATACTTTTGCACGAAACAATATGTTTATATCATATTTAGGGCCTCGTATTTAGACCTCGTATTTAGACTCGATGGACTTAAATGTAATTATGTGGTAAAGGAAAGGACAAATATGTAATAAGTGAGGAGTCCTTATTCTATAAAAGGACCCCTCACCCTCACAATTAGGAGAGACCATTTCTAGAGCCTTCTCACCCCTCTCACATCCCCTCTCATTACAGTGGCTCTGTCCCTCTTCTCAGAGAAATACAATAATCAGTGTGGACGTAGCCCAAACCTTGTGGTGAACCATGATACATCTTGTGTTATTTACATTATTTGCAGATTCACGGTCGGATTTACGTTGTTCCAAGACCTCCGATTTTGTGCATCAACATTTGGCGCCGTCTGTGGGAATCAATACGAAAAGTTGTGTCGGTTCTTTTTCATTTTTTCACCTCCACCATGAATCTGCAAAATCTGCAAAATTTGCAGAAACCCAGAACCTCCATGGGCTCTCCAAGAAAACCCCCACCCCAAAAGCTAAAAGCAAAAACACACAAAAAAGAAAAGCCAACAGAGCCAACCCATCCTTCCCAAATTGGGAAACTTCCATTTATTCTTTAGCCTTCCCCTTTGCAATTCCTCCTCCAACTCTTATGGAAGGCTCAGCCAATGAACGTCTTGATTTTGGGAAGATGGGTTACGGAGGTAAGCATTACAGAAGAAGATGCCAGATTCGAGCTCCGTGCTGCAACGAGATATATCCGTGCCGCCATTGTCATAACGAAACAACGAGCATGTTGAGCGACCCCTTTGATCGGCATGAGCTTGTTCGCTATGATGTGAAACAAGTTGTCTGTTCAATTTGTGACATAGAGCAGCCGGTTGCAAAAGTTTGTACAAACTGCGGCGTCATTATGGGGGAATACTTCTGTGACATTTGCAAATTCTATGATGATGATACCACGAAAGAACAATTTCACTGCAATGATTGTGGGATCTGCAGAATCGGGGGTCGTGACAAATTCTATCACTGCAAGAAATGTGTTAACTACCAGTCAAGTCACTGCTCCAGCTTTCCCACACCTCCCGGGCACTCAGGGTTCAAAACCAAAAACCAGAATTTTGGAACCGGAGCCCTTGTTGATCGTGACTTCCTGCCCCGCGGCCCTGACATCTGCACTCAGGTTACAAATATACACCCACCTGATCTTTTTAGCCCCTTATATATCTCATCACGTACTGGCGCCCAGTCAGCAGGTGGTGCCCAGCCAGCAGGCGGTGCCTTATCTGTCTCTTTATCCTGATTTTTGTTTTCATAAGTTGTTTCTGCTTTCTCTGTCTCTGTCTCTTGATCTCGATCTCCATTCTCCAAGGCTGAGTTAAGTGTTATAAACTTGGCTTATTTAAGATTCAGTGGACCCAATAGATTTCTGGGTTTGTAAGTTGAAGCCATTCAGGTGCAGCCGTGCAAGTCCAGGTCAGTCAGGTTGATGAACTTTGAAGGAAGGAAATCTCAAAGAGTAATCAATCGAGAAAGAAATGGGTGGGAGTAGGAAGGCGCTGGGGACGACATGGGAGTTCTTCAGGAGAAAGGATTCCGCCGTTGGTTGCGCTTTCGCAGATCTGGAATGATCAAAAGCAGAAAGCAAAAAAATAAAAGCAATCAAGTGAGCTGCGGCACAAAAGCAAAAGAGAGAGGTGCAGTGGAAAACCAGGCAGAAGATAAGATGTCTTACAACAATTCCATTATTATTCCGCTTTGGCATTGTCTGCCATCTGCCAAAAGAGAAAAGATAAAGAAATGGAATGGGAAAAGCAAAGCAAAGCAGAAAAACAAAAGTAAGGAATAAACACCCACACTGCAAAAGCAAGGAATAAACATCCCATCAAAATGATGTGATTTACTTTTGTTGTTTTTGAATGATGTAATTTTTTTTTTTTTATCTTTCGGAGAAATCTGTAAAAAACCCATCAGAGGGTTAAAAAAAAAACGGCAAAGCCCAAAATAAATGGGTTGGAATGTTGTGTGGAGAGCAAAGGACCATATGCCCAAAAGAGCCAGGCTCTCTATTATCACCAACTAGGTGACCAAAAGTACGCTCAGTACTCCAAAATTATTCGGCAACCTGCCGCTATTAGCACTAACCCGGTGATCAAAAGTACGCCCAGTACTCCAAAATTATTCGGCAACCTGCCGCTATTACCACAAACCAGGTGATGAAATGTACAACCCGTACTCTAATATCATTTGGCAACTAGCCATTCATGCCACCAACCAGGAGATGAAATGTACAACTCGTACTCTCCTTCATGCCACCAACCAGGTGATCAAAAGTACGTCCAGTACTCCAAATTATATATGAGCATTACTCATGTCATTCATACATAAACATTCATGAGCATCACTCATGACAATCATACATAAACATTCATGACCATCATTCATAAGCATCACTCATGACAACATCCATGAGCATCACTCATGTCAATCAACAAAAACATTCATAAGCATCACTCATGTCAATCAACTTCATTTACAGAGCTCTAGCTTCAAAAGCTTCATTTACAGAGCTCTGGCTTCAAAAGCTTCATTTATAAAAGCTTTAGCTTCGAAAACTTCATTTACAAAGTTCTAGCTTCAAAGCTTCACTTGCAAAGCTTCACCTACAAAGCTTCAGTGTAGGGTATACAAATACCGCTTCCTAGCCAACAGACTCTATTGACCGAAGACTTGGGGGACTACATTATGTACCATATATTGGGCCTCAACTAGGCCTCATAAAAATACTTGGGGAACTCTAGCCCATCACTTATGTATTGAGGAGCGATCCCTTATTTTATAAAATGGACTCCCTCACCTTCATTAGAGAGCAACGCCGCTAGCTGAGCAACCGTCTCACCGCGAACATCACTCATAACCCATCACTTATGTATTGAGGAGCGAGCCCTTATTCTATAAAAGGGACTCCCTCACCATCATTAGAGAGCATCGCCTACTACTGAGCAACCACCTCGCTGCGAGCATCAACTCTAGCCCATATTTATGTATTGAGGAGTGAGCCTGTATACTATAAAAGGGACTCTCTCACCTTCAAACACCACAAGCCGAGCCAACCAAGGCAACATAAGCCACGAGTCTCGCAGTGTATGCTACTTCTAGTTGAGCGTCATTTCAGATTGAGCACTGCATCATATCGAGCATCAGTTCAAGATAGCATCTAGTTACTTTGACCCACACATGGACTGAATTTCAAGTCTCCAGCCAAAAGACTCTCTTGACTGAAGACTTGGGGGACTACTGTTTATACCATATTTAGGGCATCGTATTTAGACCTCGTATAAATACTCGAGAGACTTAAATGTAATTATGTGATAAAGGAAATGGCAAATATGTAATAAGTGAAGAGTCCTTATTCTATAAAAGGACCCCTCACCCTCACAATTAGGAGATGCCATTTTTGGAGCCTTCTCACCCCTCTCACATCCCCTCTCATTACAGAGGCTCTCTCCCTTTTCTCAGAGAAATACAATAATCAGTGTAGACGTAGCCCAAACCTTGGGGTGAACCACGATACATCTTGTGTTATTTACATTATTTGCAGATTCACGGTCGGATTTACGTTGTTCCAAGACCTCCAGTTTTGTGCATCAACACAATATATTTTGAAGAACATAAGTATGATAGTTTGTTGTTATGGTAGGATAAATAAAAACAAAATTACCAAAAAAAAAAACCACAAAAGAATTTTTTTTTGAAAAGGAGGGTTAAGTATGCTAGCGATTGGTATAAGTTATCGTCACTACTTTGCTAGCAATTTGTTCAAGATACTGTCGCTACCTTGCTTGCCACAGTTCTTGTGGAAAATCGGTAGGGAAGTACCAATCGTATCCTTTTTAAAAAAAAAAAAATTTCTCTGTTTTTTCTTTTTCCATTGATTTTTTTTCCCACGTTACTTTATTTAGAACATGAAGATGAAAAAAGAAAATTTTAACAAAAATAAAATTGATAGTTTAGGTGCAGGGAGACACAATAGCAACTCAAGCCCAGCGAGCTTAGTCGTTAGCCTCAGCCCAAACTCATGCCCTCGGGAAGGCCTAAGGTGCATTAGAAACATTGAAGGCCCATGGGAATGCCCAAGGCACAACAAAAGCATTGATGGTTGTTAGATGAGATTAATTTTGAGATATATGTTGTCAATAAATAATCAAACTTAATTAACTGCAACTAGTAAGACGGTGAATGTTACCACCATTTTAGGATGGTGAGCTAAAATGTACTCCTCAAAAGAGAAGAAAGAATTTCTCTGTCACGGGAATGGATGCTACGACAATAGTGTATTATAACTAAACATCTGGAGACGCTAAGTTGGCAGTGTCCTAAACCAATAATTAATGAGATTGTTGAGAATGAATCTCACACTGATGAGAAAAGAGACATTGCATGAGCTATAAGTAAGTTGAGTTACTGCTCATATTGCCAATTAGTTTATTAGAGGAATCCCATATTCTCAACACGCACCCTTAGGTGTGACAGATTTTATTTTAAGCCGAACACGTAGACAACACAACGGGGTAATGTGAAGCGAATATGGCAGTTTGGCTTCACATTGCTCTGATACTATGAAGAAAGTTGGGGTTCCACCATAAAACCAATTGGCAATATGGGGACTAGCCTAACTTACTTTAAGCCCATGCAAGGTCTCTCGTCTAATCAATATGGAATTCACTCTCTCAACAGACAAGTCATGCAGTTTGAAATATACGATCACAGCAGCAGATTCAGCCGGAAGATTTTATTTATTTATTTATTTATTAAAAGCATCTTATTAGCTAAGGTTTGAAAGAAATTTGGAATTCTGGAAAAGATTTTCATCTCAACAGCAGCTAGCGCAAACATTAAAACAGAGGAGCAGTTATGTGAGCTGCTTCATCAAGTTTACAAACGCTGTACAATTTGTAATAGAGACGTGTAAGTACCAAATATCACGACCACAACTCCGATTAAAATTATACACCAAACAATCACCATCTCGCATCCGATCTTTCGATAAGTACCCGAAATCTTTAGGTAGCAAACGCATGGTATTATAAGCGAAGCCATGACGCTAAAAAATGCTCCAACCAGTGACATGAGATACCCAAAAAAGGGCAAAGCCAAAGCTACTGTCACACTGCTGATTACCAAGGCAGTACTCAGTAATAGGCTTAAAGGTATCTTATTGTTGTGGTGACCAGGAAACCGATTTTTCGCTGCATTTAGAATTGGTGTAACCATCAGTGCATATTTGGACAGTGGATTGAGAAGAATGGTGCATATTGCAAGTTTTGAGCTAAGTTTTTGAGTTGGAAGGTTTAGAGTTATCTGGGACTCAACCCTTGACCCGAACATTAAGTACCCTAAAACTGCCATTGATGCATAACTCGCAGTGCATACGATAAAGCTCAGGAGGAGGACCTGCATCAGTTAACGAAACATCAGGTATTCGAAACTGAGCAATTAACCAGTACTTATATAGATGTGGGACTCAACGCTCACCAGCACTACTAACCAAGATATCGCATTTAGATTATAACCAAAGTAGCTATAGAGTAACATGTTTGTAACTACTTACATTTGAAAACTGACGTTTGTTTGTCATTGATGTGTAGAGGGTAGGAAACACGGGATGCGCGCAATAACAAAGGACATACAAGCTAACAGCTGTAGGGATTCCATTCCAATTAAGTGGTACAGATCCCTCGTGGTGAAATCCAATTCCATCAAAAGCGCCAGCCCACAAAATCGAGCCGAGTATGATAGCAGAGGCAAAAACCCCAGTTGCCGATACATAAGAAAGAAGACTCAGGTTATCTAACCACACAGTCGGCATTACAACAATTCCAGCGATCATAACAAAGCATTGTTTCCCACTCACTGGGAACCCTGAAGCAGCCAACTGCAAATCCATGTTTGGAAATAAGCTGTGCAAGTTATCACCCTCTATGATTAGGAAAGCTGTTGCAACTAAGTAGAGTTCTATGTTCATGAAAATCGACAACACGATTCTTCCTGTTTTCCCAAATGCCTGTTCCCCTATGTCGGGATAAGTTTTTATACTCGTATCCACGTCCATGCTTCTTTGCATTAACAACCCTGAGTAAAATGCAGCAGCAGCAGTAACAAAAAGAAGTATCAAGCTTAGCCATCCTCCTGATGCTAGCGCATAAGGAACTGACAGTATCCCAATTCCTGAAACCACATTAAAAACAGTGTATATAATTTGGGTATTAAAACTCCACAGGATCGCTTGAGCTAGCACTAACAAAAGTACTTACAGTTGCAATAGAATGTATACATGAAAGGTCTGTAACCCAAAAAAATAAAGGTTCTTAATTAGGTCAGATATCAATATATTCCCCCTCCTAATTTCCTGCGAGTGTTTGCAAATTATAACACATTAAGTAGCAGCTTGATAATCATTTTATTTTTAGTTTACAAAGAAATGAAAACTAAAAACTGAAAGCCATTTTTTTCAGGTTTCAAATTTTGGCTTCAGTTTAATTTTCAGTTTTTTAGAAAACTAAAAACTAATATCAAAAGGTTTTAGTTTTCGAAAAAAAAATAGAAACTGGAAACTGAAAACAAAATGGATATCAAACGAGCCTATGAATTTAGAGTGCAGGACACATACTTGGAGTACAATCGAATAGCCCTTTCAAGTAAGAAATTGTAGGTATAAAAAATGTCTAAAGGAGGAATTGAGATAATTGAACAAATTTACAAGCTGTCACATATACAACGTAGTTGGAATTTCATGCTCACACAAAAACAATTAAAATGACAGGAAGAAATGCTAGAATGTATACGGCCAACAGAGAACATGCATGCATGAAAATTAAAGAAGCAGAATGTACATAAATATACCTGAGAGGGCATTGAGACCATTGAAAAATGTTTTCAGAAAAGACGTAGTTGTGTTTGTAGTAATTTGGTGATCGCAGTTTGCTGCCTCTTCTGGTGGTTCGCATCTTTCGTCGTCCCTCCCGCTCAACACAAGGGGCGAGGTCAAGGACGCATGCGCATCATCATCCATTGGAGAGAGAGAGAGAGAGAGGGCTTCGAGAGCTGTTTGACGTTGTAAATTTAGCATTAATAAATAGAAAAAAAATACTGATGAATTAATTTAGAAATTAAGCACATTTTAATGGTGCCCGCATTCAAGATTCATGTCATATTCTTACATAATATATAAGTTTTTTAGTTTATCACCTTTTCTTGTTTTTCTTTTTATGAAATGAAAGTGGACATACTTTTTCAAAGTTGATAGAGTTGCCAAAGCAAAGCAACTAAGTAAATTAATATTCGAGCTAAAAATTACACACTATACTAGAGTTACAACTATTGTACCATTTTATTTGTTTATTTATATGGTATTTTGATACACTTCAAATCATCCCGATTAATCATAAACGTTCTTCGTCCGACAGGTCCCATGAGGATGCGGAGGATATGAAAAAAGATAGAGAAAGAGAGGGATTCCACCCCCGGCCACCGACCATTTCCTTGCCACATTACATTCCAACCCCTACAAAGTCAGTGCTGTCTTTCTCTGTTGCATGTTTGGTGGTGGTCCTGACGGACTTCGGCAACCATCCCCTACTCCCACCCCCTACCTCTCCTCTCTCTCTCTCTCTCTCTCTCTCTCTCTCTCTCTCTCTCTCTCTCTCTCTCTCTCTCTCTCTCTCACATTTTCCTGAGAGGATAAATTTTTTAAACCAAATTGCAAACTAAATGATGTGTCACCAATAAGAAACAAGTACGTTAATCGACATTTATTTAATAATCCAATCTTCTCCAATCATATCATTTATTTTGCAAATTTAGAAAATTTGGTCTCCCTAACATTACTCATTAATTAACTCTTCTCCTTTTCACCATATGTAGTAGTGTCTACATTGGTGTAATATTTATTAATTGAAGAATTAGAAGAACTAATGAAAAAGACTTGAAAACTTTGAGTTTTAATCAAAATGACAAAAAAGTGTTGTAAGTGAATAGTACCATGAGTGACTTTTTAGAGTAAAAATGTCTTTTTCGTTAAAAGTAAACAGTACCGGGAGTGTTTCATTAAAATTTCCTAAAAAAATTCTGAATTGAAATATGTGTTTTATTACTCGACAAAGTGAAGTAGCATTAAAGAAATGTTATAACGAATACGATACTCTGATGTAACAAAAAAAAAATCGATTATAACACAAATCGAATGTATATCATTGTTAAATTAGAGGTAATCACTTTGGAACCCTCTCTGTATCACCGTTCACAACGTTCACTCACTCCTTCGAGAACATAAGGGGGCATTTGTTTGCCCTCACTATGTGGGACTGGACTAGATTGGACTAAGTATTATATAGTTCAATGTTTAGTAGGTAAAGGGACTATGTTTAATGAAAGAGGATCCTCGCCGGATCCTCGCCGGATCCTCTTTGTGAGAATCCCGAATATCCTCCAATCACATCCGTTCAATCCTCATTCACATTTAAAGTGATAAAACCGGACTCGCTCGGACAAACTCCTTTGCTAAGAGTTCTTAATGAGGACCCCCAAATTTCACAACACTACTAAGACCGTCATGCAGAGAGAATGTCGTCACTCATCCTACGAGAGAGACGTCGCACAACCTGCGAGAGAGACGTCCTACTCTTTCACCCTCCTCATGCTGGCCCTCATCTGCATCCTGCTCGCTCTCATCTGCATCTCGTCAAGTAAATTTCGAATATGATGATTTTCTTCTTTGATTTTGTTTTGCTGATCATGAACGACTTCGATTTTGTCTGGTAAATTAATTCTGGGTTATGAACGACTTCATTGTTTTGGGTTCAAAAACTTTCCAATAATTGACCTGTGCAATTGAAAAAATTAGGGTTTTTATTTTTAGGTTCAAATTGATATTAGATGGGGTTTTCAAATTTCAACTTTTCTGCGTTCTCACTATTGTTTCTTCATATGATCGACACCTCTAGATCTCTAATATTTGTCATAAAGTAGATTTGATATAAATTTCATCTGGTAGTTCGTAGTGCTTTTATTGGAGTGGATTTGATATAAATTTCATCTGTTAGTTGTCATAAAGTGGATTTGTTTGTTCATACATATATATATATATATATATATATATATATATATATATATGAATTTCATCTAATATTTGTACTGCCATCGTTGAATTTCATTTAATAATTGTTATGTATATAGTTTGAGTGTATGTGTATGTATGTATGTATGTACTGTGTGTGTGTGTGTGTCCATGTATGCTGATTTTGGGTGCGTGTGTGTGTCGATGTATACTAATTTTGTGTGTATGTGTGTACTCTGTGTATCTATGTACTTTCTATGTGTGTGTTGATGTATGCAAGTTGTGTGTGTGTGTGTGTGTGTGTGTGTGTGTGTGTGTTGTGTGTTTGTACTAAGCAACATAGATACAAACAGGTTCCACCAGGGTCTAACTCCATAAATACTTAATAGTTTCACAGGTAGTAACAAGAAAAGAGACCACATAAAGTGATTCTCAATCTCTTTAAATTGATCCTTCATCTGTTTATTGTATGAGCTAAAGCAAAAATGGCAAAACTGAAAGATGGTTTAGTTAATGATGGATTTGGGCTACGGGTACGAGCTAAAGCTAAAAAAGCATACATCCACATTACATATAGAAATTATATACCTATTGGATATAAATAAAGCTTGCTAACTGGAATAATTAGCATATTTTTGTCAAGTATTTAGATAAATAAACTGGCATAATTAAGATAAATTGCATGACAATTATAAAAATTAGAAATCATTCCCATTCAACATAAATAAACTATTAACAATGGATACACCTTACTGTAAGGATCTTTATCTTAGGATATCCAATGAGTGATTTTTCAAACTTTCACTTTTACAATGCAAAATATCCATTGTGTGTATTCTTCAAGCATGTTATCATTATTTTTAGATTGTAGGATAAAAAGAGAGTGAATGATATGATTTCATGACTTTAAAAAGCCAATCTTTGTAGCACTCTTATCTCTTAAAACTGTTGTCTTTTTAGCTAGTTATGGATACTATTGTATGGTTCTTGGTGGTTAGCTTGACGTGCCCACTAAGCTTTTGCTAACGTTATTCCTTCAGAGCAATTCCACCCTAGCCCTTTAGGTTGGCACCCAGTCCAAAAAATGGACCAGCATCTTGTATATTTGCTCCACCCCAGCCCAAGCCAGGCCACAGGCCAGCCTATAATCGACAGAGGGAATGGACGGCCTATTTGATGTTAGCGTGACGTCGAATGGCCTTTTTTTTTTTTTGTGCCAGGGGCGTGGGAAGGACGCGCGACTGGGCGCGTTTCACCGACAACAAAACAAAGGCAGGTCTGCTTGTGCAGGCGCACTAAACCTTTCTGATGGGAGGCCATGTGGGCAGTCCTCGGTCGTTGGATTTCCAACTGCTAGATTTTTGGACCGTTGGATTTCTCCAACGGTCAAAAAATTTTGAATTTGAAATCCAACGGCTAGTGACGTGGCTTAATATGGACTGTTCAATCCATATATCAACGGTCCATATTTTTCCATCATAAATTATAAAAAAAAGGCACAACGGTCAAAATTATGATCGTTGGCCACGTGTTAAGGTATAGGCTGTTGGATTTGAATCTTTTTCAAATCCAACGGTCCAGATTAATTACCTGAATTAAAATTGATAAAAAAATTAATAAAAAATTGTTAAAAAATACAGAAAAATTAAAATTTCTTTTTTCCTATAAATACCTAACCCTCATATTCCACCTTACACCACATTTCAATATTTTCAACAATTTTTACCAAAGCTTTCATATAATTTTCGAGAGAAACAAAATGACTACATGGAAGCTCATCAAAGATCTTACTTTGTGTGAATGCTAGGTTCACACTACTCATAACCCGATTATGGGTAATAAGATGGATAAGCGAGAAATGTGGAGTAAAATTACGAAAGCGTTTTGCGAAGTACATGGAAAAGACGCTAGAAGTAGTCAAGTCTTCAAGGCCGTTGGAAAAAAACTCAACGCATCCTTTGCTTGTAGGAAAAATGCCATCTCTCATGCTTCCGGTAATCTGCGTAGTGGGACAAGTTTAGCGGATCATGTGACAATATTTTTATTTATTTATATGCATTCCACCCGCATCAATATTTTAATTTATTTATTTGTGTTACACCCGCATTTTATAATACTGTCTTATCCCACATGACACTACAAGCACAAATATTCTACAATGCGAAGAACTAGAACAAATCATTCAGCAAATGGGAATGTTGGCAAATTGTCAAAGATTTCCCTAGATACAAAATTGTGGCAACCGGTCCAAAAGTTCGCATGCATGACATGGGTTTACACAGTTCGCCAGAGGTAGACACGACCGAACAAGAAGACGACACATTTGAAGAAACGGAAGGGACGCCTGAAGAAGTGCTGGAGACCCAGCCGATTCGTCAGTTCCTCAGGCCTCAAGGTAACAAGGCATCAAAGAAAAAAGGTAGTTCTTCCAAAAATGACTACACTAAATATATGGACGAACTTGCTCGCCAAGGTGAACTGAACATGGTGCGGAAAACGGCTAGAGATGAGGAAAAAACTGCTGCTATGGCAGCAATATTAGCAGCTACTGAGAGACATGATGCGGCGGTTGAGAGACAAAGAGAAATACTTAATCGAGAGAACGAGATGATTAGAGAAGCACTTAATTGAGAAAATGAGATGCTTAGAGAAGAAAGGATGGCTCAAGAAAATGGTTACATTATGAAAAAGCCTCTAGTAGGACTGTCTCCAAATTCAAAATATTTTTGGACTTCGGAAAAAAAGACGTTGTGCGAATGAGGTGTGCAAGAGATGCGGAAACAAGTCGAGGGGGTTCTAGCTACACAGATCCTAGAAACGAAGATCCTAGCTCCATAGACTTTGTATAATTTCATATTTATTTTTAGTACTTTATGGCCTCGTTTGGCAGCTCGGACTGTACTGACTATTTCAATCGGATATGATAAATAGTCATCGGATAGTACTGACTAAATTAGTCGGGCGTTTGGTGTAATATCGGATTATAATCG